TCAGGGAATAGTAAGTAAAAAAGAAACGTATACATTTCAAAGAAATTACCACTTACAAACGAAAATAAAATTGTTCAATTTTCAGGTTTCAAAATTACTCAACGACCCAAACAAAAAGGGAAAGAGAAATGTAGGAATTTCCTAGAAGAACCCGATCACAATCGAATTTCCTTTGCATCAATATTCGAAGGACTGTCTTCTTCGAGAGAATTGCTCCAATAAAATCCACGCGTATTCGTAAAAGTCGTTTCCTTTCTTTGAGCTTTCCGCGTGGAAAGCGTAGAGTTCCATCTGCTCGATGGCGAATAAAAATGAAAGGATTGTTCTTCGATGCTGTTTGATCGTTGCACGAGTCTCGCGCGCATTTCTTCGCTCGTCATCGAGTCTCAATAGTAAATGTGCGTGCGTCTCTAGTTGCCCAGATTCGTCGAAGAAACACAAATAGACTTGTCCATGGCACGCTTTTGTTCGTGTCCCGTGTGCACAAGTAATCATTGATTCGATTTTCTTGTTGGCCCTGTTACACACTTTTTCCGGATCGACACGAAACCCACGGTAGTAGTATCAAAGCTTAATCGAAAGTGCGTCCCTATGTTCGTTCACCGATTCAGCCGCAGTTCTTCTTTCTTTTTTCTTTTTTTTTCGATGAACAAGGAACAAGGCGTGAGCAAGTTTTTCACGCCATTTCGAAGAACAGTGCTGTAGATTGTAGCTCAGAGATTGAATTATTTACAGACCCGATCGGTTTGCTTCTGCCACCCGGAGAGTGTTTGATTCTACTTGTTAAAGTGAAGTCAGTAACGTTGGTATTGAAATATTAAATTTATAACTGTAATAATTTTATGCTTGATAGAGAGAGATGTTAAATGAAATTATTGTTAAAAAATTGGTGATGTTTGAAAAATTTTGATGATTTCATTAGGAATTACTATTAAATTCTAATTACTTAATTAAATAATAATAGATAGAAATTGTTAAGGAATATGGATATAATGGAGTATGGATGTAAATGATATTGATAATTGTTTATTATTTTTATTTCTTAAAATATACATATAATATAATTATAGAATATTTTAAAAAAAAAATCATGTGAAAAAATATTGGAAATTTACATATAATTGTCTTTAACAAATTAAGGTAAGTTTAATATTTTTAACAATATATATATTGTTTAATTTAAATTACTCAACTTCAAATTTCAAGAATTTAATTTCTTCTCCATTATAATTAAAGCTTCTTTCCCTTTAATCAGAGATTAGCCATCAGATCGTAAAGTTCTTGGACCACAATATCCCTTCAGAAGACGTCGTTAACCTCCTGTTTCGGTTTATCGTCGCGGAAGGCATAGGAGGAATCAGCTTTGATCCTGGGCAGGTTCCACGCGATTCCTGTCGGAGCCTTGGGCGATGAAGCACATCGTGGCTGCACCGTCAGAAAATTTCATGGGACTAGCACGATAGCAGAGATTGCGTAATAGAGATCACTTGGCAGAGGATCTGATCAAAGTTGAATCTCATTGGCTTTCGTTTCCGTGGTACCGACGAGGGAACTGCCTTGTCTCTGCTATGGAAATCCTAGATGGAAGAGATAAGGGACACAGAATAAAGATACAAGTTTTTGAGGAGTAATGATATTGACCACGAGTAGATTGTATTAAGATTTCTGAACTCTCTTAAGCGTGATAATTGGATAATTTTGATAATAATGGTAAATATCTTTTTATTTTATTTCTATTTTATATTATTTTTACTTTATTATATATTTTTAAATTTGTATAAATACTAAGACATTTTACAATTATGAGAAAGTAAAATTTTATTAACTTAATTATTTACTTAAATTAAAAATAAACCAAACTATTATAAATTAAAAGGCGTGGACGAACTCTAATGATAAAGTTTAATGATAACTTGTAGCTTTTTACAATATGTCCTAATATTTTAGTATCAGTGAGAAGATAATTTGTTTCATTTAAATTTCATTAGAATTTAAAATATCTTATTTTCATTCTAATTGATTTGAGAATTATAATAAAATTTATTAAAGCAATATTCATAGTGGGAATTATTTTTATTAATGGCAAGTAAGGATGAATGGTTCAAAGGCAAATAGTAATAAATTAATTACTATATACATAATAATATTGATAGCCAAGTATATTTAGCCATTCATCATAATTTATGCCATTATATAATCTGGTTTACTTATGAATATTTATTAGTAAAATTATATTTATCCTTTCTATAAATCTTTAGCATTTATACATAGAAAAGTGTAAAATAGAATAGAGTACGTAATGAAATATAAATATAAGATTAATTTTACGATTTATCTTTGAATATCTAGATTATACGGATCGAATCTAACGTGTGAAAGCTGAAGAAGTGAATTCTCAAAATTGTTAACGAAAGGAGTTACGTGGGAAAGAAGCATAAGTGCTCAGATTTCCAGAAGAGGACTAGATTTTATAAAAGACGTTACATAGATCAAGGATATTTTTCATCAACCACCAGTTGCCCGTTTGTGTTCTCTCGTTCCTCGATTATACATTTTGCTACATGACTTAAAACCTGGTCAGAGGTTGTTCCAGTTACGCTTTAATAATGGTAATATTTCCTGAGCATCGTGTGCCGTGTCATGTATTATGAGAAGCCAAGATTTCGCGTCAAAACATATATCTTAAAAATTAATTAAAATGGCGGATACGACCACGTTGAATCATTTAAGAATATTATTGGAGAAGAGGAAGATGAACAATGAAAAAGGAAAATTTCGAGATCTATTTGGGAAGAAACGTGAAATTTCATGCGCAATTTCATACGCGAAAGAAAACAGAGAATAAACAGAAAATCGTATTACCAAGTAAAATGATTTTGAAACGGAATAACGTTCTCCATTGAGATGCGGAAATACCGTACAAATAACCGAGATGTTTGCATAGAAGGGGGACACCGGGCGAAACTCATCTTTTCAGATGTTTCCCAGTACACCGATAGTCGTGGTCGAGAGGAATGAATTAAAAAAGAAACCATAGAGACAGGCCGAGAGAGTGAAAGAGACGAGGAAAGGAAAGAAAAAGTAAGAACCTGTGGGAAGAAGACAACAAACGTCTATTCATATCTTCGAGCAATGAATTGAGTTTGAGTTGCGCAACATAAAGATTGCAATAAAATAACGAAGATTTTAATTGTTTCCTTAATTTAAAGTGTCACTGGCAATATAATTAAATGTGCTAAATTTAATTTCATAATATAAATATTATCTATATATATATATATTATGAGCAATTTTTCTTTTACATTAAAAAACTTAAAATATTCCAATAATTATAGAAAATAATCAAAGAACTCTATATTTTACCATCATGGATCAATTATCACAATTACTCAATCGTATTTTTCAAAGAGGCTAACGAAAAACACTAAAAGTCATTACTTAAATAATATATGGAAGAAAATTTTAATTAATCGTGAAGAGAATTTTCGTAATAATTCATAAATAAAAAGTACACGAATAAAAAAGCATTAACAAGTGGTAATCCAATAATGCAGCAAATTTTAAAACTTCTTCAACCTGACTTCTTACGTCACAGAGAACGCATCCTCGCACCTAGAAGTATGTTTGCAAAGGGACAGAGGAAGATGCATCCTACGCGGAGGTGGCTGAAGATAAGGAGAGAAGGGACACAGGCTGGGGTTCGAGAGGCGGGGGAGAAGAAAAACGAAAAGCAGGAAGAGGACACCGCAGTGAGAGGCGGAGGAGGCTGGCCATACCGAGGAGGGCAGAGTGCGTTTAAGCGTCCGCTGGACGAGGAGGAAACGAACGTAGGATGATAAGAAAAAGAAAAGGTTCGGAGGTGAACAAAAGGAGGTAGTGGCCCGAGAGGTGAGCAAGTGCATCATATCCGGGAGAGAAGGAATAAATTCGGCAACGATGCTTGCTTAACGACGAAGAAAATTGGAGAATGGAGAGACAGAATAAATCTGGATAATTTTTGCTTAGCAATATGATTCTTTTATTTTAAACAAGTGTTTAAATAAATTTTAAATGATAAAATAATGGAAGGAAAAAATATTGAGATTCATCAGAAGAAAAATTTTAACAATATGACATGTTTTACAAATAATAAGAAGGAAATGCTTTATTAGAATTTTAAATTAATCGAGTGAGTCAACGATAATACACGTTGAACGTCACGATAAACGCCACTTTGTCATACTGCTCGATTACTTTCATTTTTCAAATATTGCTTCGTTCAAATTCAATCCAACCAAAAAGTCACATATTTCCCTCGCATGTTTCGACGATCTGATTTAAACCAATCGAATAGAATCGTGAATAATACAAGTAAAAGATCGATCTGAAACAACTTCTTTACGAACCACGTGGAGAAAATCATACGCTTACCGACAGTGAGGCAGTAAGGAAGAAGAGGAACTCAGCGTTTAAACATACGCTGAGCGATCGGTTAAAATGAAATGAAAGGTGGAGAAGAAGGCGCGAGGAAGTCGGTGGTTGGGCGCTAACGTAGTCGAACGAAGAAGATAAATAAGGAATGTATAAGGCGTGCAAGAAACGAGAAAATTGACATTCCAATCTCGCGGAAAATAGTATGCACGCGAAGAGTGGAAAGGAAGAGGGAAAAAAAAAAAAAAAAATGCGTGTGGAGCAGAGAGCGGATGGAGGAAGGAAGAGGGTCAAGGAGGCGGAGATGAGATGAGAAAAGAAGAAATGGAACGGCGAATCGTTCAGCGGACGAGGAAGAGAGGAGTCTGCCGGAGTAAAGGAAACGGGTATCGCGAAGTGGAGGAAGAAGAAGAAGAAGAAGAAGAAGAAGAAGAAGAAGAAGAGGAAGAAGAAGAGGAAGAAGAAGAAGAAGAAGAAGAAGAGGAAAGAAGGGAGGCAAGGTAAAAGGGAGAGGAGGCGAGGGGACGAGGTCTGGGTTGGGTAAGGTGAGGGCTCCTACGGGTGAGTACCACTCACTTCATTGACTCGTGCGTACGCCCGCACGTCTGTCAGTCCATCCTCACTCACTCGATCCTCGCTTGGTCTCGTAGCCATTCTAACGGAGGCCACAGTTCCCTGCTTCGAGTTGCACGTTTACCTCGTCCTCGTCCTCGACGTGGTAACGTACACGGCCACAGGCGTGAAGTCGAGGCCGACGTCAATAACGTGCTTCCTCTTTTTTCTCGATCGACGACCGAGGGAATCGTGGTGTCGTGATCATTCAGAAAATCTATCTTCGCGGGTGGATGTCGGCCGGCAGCAAGAACAGGATGATTCTGGGCAGCCTGGGAGGAATCCTCGCTGTCCTCCTGCTCGTCGAGATCTCGTGGACCAGGGCCAAACCTCAACAGATCAAACCTGGTGAGTGGTTTTCTTTTTTTCTTCTTTTTTTCCCCCCTCCCCCAACAAATTTCGTTATCCGCCTCGCAACATACAATCGATCGATCTTCCAATCCAATGGAAACGTCAATTTCTTTAATAATTTCGAGTTTAAGAATTATATTCAAAAAATTCCGTTTTATCGCCAAACTTTAATCTATGATTTAATAATACTTTGATCAAAGAGAATTGCTCAATCGTCTCGAAAACATTTTTCTCTCAAGAACATATATATATATATATATATATATACGTAACATATTTCATACTTGCGAATTCTTTATCGCGTTTCGAAGGATTAATTAAAACGCGGCGGATCCGTAACGAGGGAAGTAATACTTCCTCCTTCATTACGGTTTATCGTTAGCGATCAAGCCGTGATGAAAAAAAAGAAAGAAAGGAAAAAAAGGAAATGAGAAACAAAGAGACGCGATGCCATTGTTCGAGGTGTTATATCGATCGATTCTTTCGAAGAAGAAAGTCCGATGATCGGTATCATCGACAGATGTCAGAAACGAAAGCACGCGTACACACATGCGCGTCGTCGTCGTCGTGGGAGCATTCGAAACGCGGCATTGTTCGATCCGTGGATCGTCTATTGCGCAATTCCACCGGATCAGGGTTAACGTACCGGCACGATTACGTTAACCATTCGCGGAACGATCGATCGATCATGATCGATCGTGTTCGAATTCTTTTTTCTTTTTTCTTTTCGCATGGAAACGTGGCCCGTTTCGAGTGCCTACTACCTGACCGGCAGGGTGGTCCAAGCGTTGGATATCTAATCTGGCGAACGGAAGTCGCTTTGTGCGGCAGAGAAAGATACGCTTTTGAGCAGAGTAGTTTGTTCCTCGCCTACTTCGATAATGATGTTCGAGATTGTATCTCGAGATTCAAGCCCAATATTTTTTGTCCCACTTTCGACTTGAACGTGTTCCTTTTGAACGAGGAGGAGGAGGAAGTTTTTAACGCGCAGATAATTTGCTTCGAGTCCGTTGTTTTTCAAATCCGTTTTTCGAAGATAAGCAACAAGGTAATATCAGGAAGTCTTTTTTCTTTTTTTTATTTAATGTATCTCTCATTTAATGATATGAATCTATATTAATCGAATTAAGAAGATACTCAATTCTAATTCAATTAATTCAACCGATTACCTACAAAGAATTTCATTTCTATATTTTTTTTATTCACGTATAAATTATTAAACATCCGTAAAGTTTTCAACATTATCAATAATTCGCATCTCGACACGATCTAATACGTTTAACTTTCTGCAACATTCGAGCGCAATAAAATTTCAATGTTATCAATAATTATATATCCATAAGTAACGCTTAAATTTAATCCATTTTCCCTGTTCCAACAACCAATCGACGATTATTATTAATTAATGGAAATTTATTCAAATAACCGATGCGAATGGACGCATCTTTCTTTCTCCTCGTGTGTACACACTACCTCCTCGAACTTTCGCCTCCAATAACGATCGAACAGAGAGACACCGCGTGCAGTTAAGCATCGCGAACGACCAAGAAGTAGTTTGCACTGGGTCCAGCCGAAAGGAGTTTACGTTACCTTACGAGCAGACCGCACGCTTTCGGCCGCCTTATACGTGAATGCCCTAAGAACTTTAGCTGTATCTCGCCCTGCACGTTTGTCCCCCTTCCGGAATTATTGTCTCGGGACCGAGTCTAACTCGCGGCCTCGCTCGTTTCAAACTTCTTCGCGGCGAGAAATAATATTTCAAGGCGTTCGCAGGCTCGAGGGGCGGGCTCGTGTAAATGGAGGAATATATATATATATATGTATAAAACGGAGGAACAACGAATGGAATTTTGTAAATTATCGTCAGGTCAAGTTATGGGTTGTTGGAAATCGATTGATTGTTTGACTTTCGACCGTGTTGGATTGTCTCGAGGAATGCGTTCTGTCCTCGGGGGAAAACATTGCGAAACTTTTCGATTTTAATCGAAAGATAAGGGATTGTTGTTTGAATGTTTTGTTGGATGTTTAATAATCAATTGAAAATCGTTCGATGGATCATTGTTGAACCGAGCAACTCGAGAAGCTTCAACAATGAGTTTTTAATATACATTGTTGGATCGTTGGAAGAGATCTTTTTGAAGATCAAGGAGAGGAATCGATTTTTTGCCATTGGCATTTCTTCATTCTTTCGATATAGAAGATCACACGTTTTCATATCGGTTCGACATCTCGATCTCTTGCGTTCCATTGTCCTGCCGATCTATGTGTGCCATCGCGAGTATAGCAAGAAACATCCGGAATTAATTTTCACCAGAATCACAACCGTTGTACATCCATCGAAATTTTAAAAAAAATCAACTTTCCTTCGAGGAAGGAAAAAAATTGAGAATACGACCAATCACCACCGATTAATTGATTCAAAGAGAAATCCTCCTCTTTTCAAAACGAGAAGTCCTCTTTTCAAAGAAGTCCTCCATCAGAATCGTAGATATTTTTTTTTTCCTTTCTTTTTTTAAACATCACCCGTCATCCACCGAAATCCATCAGGCTCCACTCGATCTTTCGCGAGATTCCACGCCACGTTTTTCCGTCCAATTATCTCTCTCTCTCTCTCTCTCTCTCTCTCTCTCTCTCTCTCTCTCTCTCTCTCTCTCNCTCTCTCTCTCTTTCTCTCTCTCTCTCTCTCTCGATCGATCGATCGAATTAGATCTTCGGTCCATCTCTCTCTCTCTCTCCTTCTCTTTTTCTCCCTCGAATATTCGGTCGAATTCGATGGCGAATGAATCTTACATGCTACGTCCAAGCCAGGCCGGGGTCTATATATCATTTCTTGGTCGGAAAACTGTAGCAGGATAGCCTTCTTTCCACTTTCCAAACCGATTCAACGCCAAATGGCGGATACGCGGCTGGTCCACCGATATGGAACCTATTCCGGTTTATTGGAGATGGCGTATGCAGCCCAAACATCTGGCTCCCGCGAGATATATTTCCGCGATCCGAGAAGATTCCGCCGGATGTTTCGCACCAGTTAGTTTTTAAGGTGGATTTTATTCGTGGCGAAGGAATGGCTGATTGATTTCACGAGATAAAGTTCTTCTTGTAGGAGGAGGGGGAGGGGTATTAGCGGAGGAGATATTTGCCTTGTTTCGAGGAGGATCACGATCTTTCGATTTATCAGATGGAATAGATGCAGTCTTTGTTTATGGATATTTTTTAGGTGATCGATACTCGTGTGAAACAATTTGTTTGAATCAAATTGATTAAGAAAATCGAAGTATGGTAGAAATTTGCCTCGATCATTTTGAAATTGTCGATATCTAAACGTAAAATCTTTTTCACCGGGTTCAGCAGTTTTTCCATCTCCCTCTTTAACTTCCTTTTCTGCAAGCCCAAGAAGTTTTAATGGACACCGTGAGATAAATTATGTCGACATTCGGGATAATTAGAGAGGTCGTGTATCGTGGCACGTGCTCATCTCCGTTTTCTCCATCGATCTTCCAGCTTCTGCGACGATCCACCCTTCTCTCCTCCTCCTCCTCCTCCTCCTCCTCTTTCCACCGATTCGTATGCTCCATTTACCCCTCATAGTTCTTGCAACGTTTCCGACAGGTTTGACTTTAAAAGAAGTCGTATTAAAATTCTCTTCACACTTTGGAAATTTACAAGTTTCCAACCGTTGAGCAATCGTATACGTAGAAAAGTCAATCTTTCTCGCGAGAATCAAATCGGAAAATTGTTTGAAACTTTTGAAATTTCTTTTCTTTTCTTTTCTTTTCTTTTCTTGTTTTTTTTTTTGTCTGGTTAGTCTAGTTTTCATTCATCCATTCATAGTTATCCATTCATAGTTCAACTTCGTTTCTTTTTTTTCAACTCTAATATAGAGAAATCTAATTCCTCGGCTATGAACTATTCAAAAAAGATTTGAAATTTTTTCATTGTAAATGTTTATTATGCAAATGTATATTTTTAAAAAGGGACATCGATTAAACGTTTGCTTCATGTTCCTCGATGTTCCTCCCCCTCCCTCGATTCGATCATTTAAAAGTATTTTTTCGAGATAAGAAAAAAGAAATATAAAAATTCGCTTGAAAGAGATTCAAAAATAAACGTTTCATTCTATTCAATTAAAGACTCGATTTCCCTACAGAAGGTTAAATCAGTTCAATCCCCTTAAAAGATATATATCAACCCACTACAAGACAAACAGTAGAATTCAGAGACAAAGTAAACTTCTCTCAGAAATAGCAGGAATATTCAAACCTTCTTCCTCCACCATTTGTTCCTTACTTGACGAAAGATTACAATTTACAACCACCCCCATAAAAGCGAAAAATCCTCTCGAAGTCGAGAAAAGTCAAAAGCTGAAAAAGAAACTCACCCTTCAAAATGCAGATCACCAAAAAAAGCATTTAAGCATACATAAAATCTACTCTCTATAAGATAACGTTCGAACGCCATCGTTCTCAGCCCTTAGGTGAAGAGAATTTTCGAGTTGGCCAGCTGGCGTCGAAAACGAGCTTTCCATCTTAATTAACGTACTCTTCTCCTTGTCACGGTTCTTCGATAGAGGGCACTTGTGGCGCTAATGCAGCCAGACGACCGCCGTTTCTTGCAATCCGTGTCGCACAAGACAAAGCATATAATACGAACCGAACCCTTTTTCGTTCAGAATCCCCTTGACCCGGTTTTTCTGCTTAACCTCGAATAAAAAGGGGACCTTTGGTCAGTTCCCTCTCTCCTAGAACAATCCTGTGGAAATGTATGGATTGAGATTAAGTTAAATAATCGACAAGTATTTGATAAGAAAAGGGATCCTTGGCCAGTTCTCCCCCTCCTAGAACAATCCTGTGGAAAGATTCTTGGTCAGTTTGCTCTTCTTAGAACAATCTTGTGGAAATGTATGGATTGAGATTAAGTTAAATAATTTGTAGTATTTGAGGAGATAAGAAAAGGGATCCTTGGCCAGTTTTCTCTTCTTAGAACAATCCTGTGGAAAT